AACTGGTAATTTTCTAGGCTCATCATCTTCTCCATCCTCAGGGGGGTCATCTGGTAAGTGATAGGCCAAGGGGATTGCATGACCACTTGTTCATCTTCCTCATTGTTTCCACCACCTGCTGATTCCATAGGCCCTACTTCTTCCAAATGTTGCTAAGGACATTTCCATCCCAAAGTAAGTTCTCACTCACATCAGACATCAGCGGTTCATCATTTTCGTCTTCTTCTAGGTTATAGGCAATCAAGGGGTGATGGCTAGGCTCCGGGGTACTCGTTTTCTTTTGGGATTTCAGAGGTTTTGAAGCCGCTTTTTTCATAAAATTTTTCCTGTCGTAAGCGATGGCCACATTTTTTTACCTTTTGTTGAAGTAAGGGATAGTCAGGGGTGGTTAAGGAGGGCGGGGATAGTTAAGGAGGGCACTGGAAAACACACTATAAATTGGCCCCTTGGAAGACGCTGCTTCATGATGGTGGACTTGAGATTTCGCTGCATGCACCACTATTTCCAATATTGGGTGGCGTCCTTCTAAACACGTGTCCCCAACACATCTAGGTAGATTTTTTAATACAACAAATTTATTTCGGATGGTGATGGAAGCTAAGTTTTCATTTGAATTTTGAGATTTAAAATTCAAAATTTTATTGTCATCATACTTTACTATCCACTGTTGAATAATGTGTTTCTCGATGAAAGTGGCTCTTGATTGCGATGAGCGGCCAGGATTGCTCCGAGATGTATCGTTGTACCAGGTTGGCCATGGCTGCTAATAGAGATCCCGTGCTTCATTGGGATTGAGGACATTCAATCCAACAGAAATATTAGCATAATTGTTTGGGCAAATATTGTCTTGTATAGAGTTAATTTACTTAAGGGGCCTTTTGTGTACCTGAAAATCTATTACATGACAATAGAGTACAAGGAAATATGACATTTCCATGATACACTTTAATAGCAAGGAAATGGATAGAGATTACCCGATATTTGCCCAAAAATCACGAAACCGAAGTGAAAAATCTATTCCCGAGATTTCCCCAAAAATCACGAAACCGATTACCCGTGGTGAGGGGTGAAAAATCTGATATGCGTGTTGACGGGTAATCTTAGAGAAACGTCTCTCTCTCCAGTATCCCCATTTAAAAAATGTCAACCCGCCATTTTATCTCTCTCAAACTTGTATGAGTAACTTACCAAACGCTTCTCTCTTCACTGGTAAGTTTGCTAGGTACTCCCTCCTTCTCTAAGCCCGATCCTCTCTCTCTTAAGCCCTAATAACTGGTTTGCATAAGGTGCTTCCTCCGTCTCTAAGCCTTCCCCCATTTCTCTTGAGCCCTAATAACTGGGTACTCCCTCTGTCTCTAAGCCCGCCTCTCTTTCTCTTGAGCCCTAATAACTGGGTACTCCCTCCCTCTCTAAGCCCGACCCTCTCTCTCTTAAGCCCTAATAACTGGTTTGCATAAGGTGCTTCCTCCGTCTCTAAGCCCGCCCCCTATTTCTCTTGAGCCCTAATAATTGGGTACTCCCTCCGTCTCTAAGCCCGTCTCTCTTTCTCTTGAGTCCTAATAACTGGTTTGCATAAGGTGCTCATAAGGTGCTCTCTCTTGAGCGCTAATAACTGGGTACTCTATCCGTCTCTAAGCTCGCCTCTCTTTCTCTTGAGCCCTAATAACTGGTTTGCTTAAGGTGCTCTCTCTCTTTAACCAGTTATTTTGGTGTGGATAAGCCCTGCCTCTTTAACTCCTCAAATGCCTCAAAATTTTCTACTGTAATTACCAAAGCTTCTAGTCTACTAATCAAACTTCTTCCCATTTTTTAACTTGTACCATACCTTCTAGTCTACTAATCAAACTTCTTTCCATATTTTAACTTGTACCATAAAGATTTTGAATTGGGTATCATAAATTTATTGCTTATTTGAAATTATATAGAGACATTTGAAAGACTTTTATAATAAATAAATAAAAATAAAGCTTATCACAATAAAAATATATTATTCCAATCATATTATTCCAATGACTTATCATGTTGAAACCAAAGTCTAATCATGTTAGATGATATGTGATTCCATGTAAGTACCAAAGGCATGCTAAATAAATAGGAAATTGTGTAATGGTGACTTTAGAGTACAAGTTATTATCAAATAATCGTTTTGGAATGGCGATGATGTTATTATTAGAAAATCTTTTTAGAATTGTGTGATGATGACTTTAATTCTGTATTTCAGTAGAAGTTTGTCACAAAAAAAAAAGAAATGATAGTTTATATGCAAGTGCTGGTAAAATATTGGTAATGCATTTCCCATATTTCTTCCAGACAGCCAAACAATAGCAATGTATTTCTCATGATGCATTAAATACTCCCCAAACAATGACAATCCATTTGCAGGTAAAGTATTACGCAGTAATGTATTACGGCAGTAATATATTTCACAAACAATATATTTCCAAGCATCCAAACGGCTCCTAAAGGTCAAGAGAAAATCGAAAAAACCAACTTTTAGAATACAAGAGGTAGGACTCTCGACTTCTTTTTTCTCTACTTGAATGTCAGCAAGTGATACGATGTCTTTGTCCAATCAATCTTAATCAATGTCCCACATAAATTGGAAATTTATTTAAAAGCTTACGTCGACCATGCTATAACTGGTATACCATTCATTCAAAAATATGCAGATTTGGGTTTAATGAGAGATTTTTTCATTGCTGGGACCTATTTTTCGGCTATCAACTCCACACTTTGAAATCTCTAAAATTTATGTTTTATCACTTTAGCTGCTTCATTGCTTGATCCATGAAAACATAAAATTTTACCTCCTTGGATACTTCTACATAGGCTAGGGGTCGAAGTCCAAAATTTGTCTACCATCTATTAAAAGCCACAATGTTTGTATCTTTAGAGAGAAAAGATACCACAACACTGGATTGGTTGGATACGTTGGACTTTATCTTTGACAATATTTTCGCCTACCACAATCACCAGATCTACATGATGGTCAAACCTAGTAGATGAGCGAAGAATCTGAGCATACGAAAGGAGTTTTACTCCCTCTTTGGTTTCTTCCTCCTCCATTACTCCTCTCTCCCCCGTACACATTGAATATTAGCTCAAACTTCGATGGAAAGGAGTTCACTCACAAGCGAACTCTCAAATAATGGGTGACATTTTACTTGCCTTTTACTCATAGTAACCACCTAAAAGCAACCACCACCTTAAGCTTTTATCAAGCACTTGGAATACCCCATTGAAGGAAAAATGAGGAGATCTAACCGGTAACTGCTCGATTAGATTGGAACCAGCCATTAATCGACATCAGTTTCTGACGGTTTTGGTGATCGGCTGAGTATTTAAAAAATCTAAAAAAATATTGGATTTTGTTTGTAATACTTTTTTAATGTTTTTCATCATAATGGCAAAGATTGAATCTTTTTTGGCCATTAATACTTATTTTTACATTTTTCCATCTTTTTTTAAATTTTTAAAAAATACCCCTAAGCACAAATCGCTTATTTAAAATCTATCTTTTCATTAATTTTCAACTTCATTTGGACGTGCTTTGTTTAATTATTATTTAAATATACGTTTCATATTTTATTAGATTTTTTTGTATATTTTTTAAAAAATTAACGGTTTCTTGTACCACTTGGGACTTGTCTTGTTAGAACGGTTGAATCGACCGGTTTAATGGTTAGGCCGGTTGAACCGCTTCTAGACCCATATTTAACCATTCTGGTTCTATTTTTCCTATATTGGAATACCCTCTGCTCAAGTCCAAACCTCTTAGGAATGGGGCTGGGGTCGTGGTGGTAGTATCCCCACACCTAGTCACCACATTGTGGTTTCCATTCTTACAATTAACATCACCTTCAAAAATCAAACTCTTAATCTACTTAAAAAAATAGGTAGGAGCCTGTCGTCCCGACTGAATTACCCAAAATATAAAAAAAAAGGAAAATTGTTTCATGTGCACTAGACCGTATTTCTACCCACGAGGGCCTGCTTCCGTATAGAAAGAAGGGCCGACAAGAGCTCCACCCCTATTGCTTTTAGGCAGGGCTGAGTCTATTAGATTCCATTCTTCCATTCTTTGCTCTTGCCCTGCCCTGCCTAGCCTAACCAATAAAAAAGTTACAACGCCCTGTCGAGACTGACTGATTTACTGAGATTTTGCCTTGTATATCGATTTATATTAGGTGCGATGCTCCAACCGCCCGTCCACTCCCTGCCTTTCTTTCTTTGTTATATGCACTCTCGAGGTATAAAGTATCTACTTTAAATATGAATGCAAATAAGTTGTCCATCTAAACACAATTGAAATTAACAATCCAAATGTTTTTTTTAAAAAATTATTATTTTGAAATTTTAAAATTTATTTATCTTTAGATAAAGTTTCTATAAGGCCTAGGCTTTATAAAAACAAACTAAAGCCTCACTTCAAATCCCTGTCCAGAAAGCACTTTTAGCCATAGAAATCTTCATGATGGATCTAAAATCAATTTCTAACAAATACAATAGGATTTGAAACTAAAAATGGTATAAATCTTGCGGATCTATGAACACTTATTTTTAAGGTGAAATGAACAGTCTAGATAATTCATTACAATATACACTATTTTTTTAGCTTAAAATTCTAATTTTTTTTACAACCACAATGTTCATGTTGAGATGATCGATATAAAGGTTTTTCAATACTTGAATTGTAATTTTCGATAAGTTATGAGATGAGACTTTACTTATTTTAATAGGGCTGTGGCCTTATCAAACCATTTTCCTTTTTATCTTTTCATGTTCATGATCTCCATGTTGAACATTACAAGTCTTTAAAAACTTAAGTCCAAAATTCCATATCAAAAATAGATTTTATCGACGTGACTCATTCCTCGTAGAAACCGTGTCCCAAAAAAAAAAAAAAAATCCAAACCTCTTTGCCCTTTCGAACCCGACTGCCCAAGTTCGCCTCTTTCTCTCTCTAAAAATCCGCGGTCCCAATCTTGTTTCTCTCTCATCCACTTCTCCATCTTGTGCGGCTCTTAACTTTCTCTCTCCCTAAAAAATTATTCTCTTGACTTTCTCTCTCTAAAAAATCTATTCTCTTGACTTTCTCTCTCTAAAAAAATCTAAACCATTTCTTCTTACCTCACATTCAATTCCGATCGTCTCTCAATCTCAACTGTCTTCTTTCTCTCTCAAGATATTTCCCCAATCCCTGATTCCCGCTCTCTATAAATTGCCCTAAATACCAGTCTTTTGTCTCTCTTTGTCCAGTCTCCCAACCCATTGGCCCACTTTCTCTCTGTAGGAGAGCGAGCCTACTTTTTTTTTCCACACCTTAAGAGAGAGAGAGAGAGAGAGAGATTTCTTGTGAATTGCTTGTTTTGGTTGAAAGGCAAGAGGATGAAGAGGGTTTTTGGGGCGAAGAAGGAGAAAGAACCTCCTCCTTCAATTCAAGATGCTTCTGATAGAGTAAGTTTCTCTTTGTTGATAAAAGCAGGGTTGGGTTTTTACAATTCAAAAAGTAGAATAGTTGGGTTCTTTCTTTGATATTACAATTGATCAAGATTTAATTATCATGCGCTGGTTGGAAATAAATTGATGGGTTTTGTGGGTTTCAACGGTTTTTTGGATATTTATTTCGATGAGATATTGTTCTCTGTATTTTGTTTTGCTTAAATTCTGGCTCCCTTTCTGTTCCTTGTGAACTTCATTTCTTAGCTATAGTTTGTGCTTAATCTTTACAAATCAAAGTAAACATGTGTTGAATTGTTTTACCATTCATCTCTGTTCGTTTTAGTTTTTCCCTTTGTGCTAGTAATTGTGATTTCTGGTTTAGTCCCAAAAAATGAGTGATTGAGGCTAAACCATGATCTTTCTCGTGATCTGAATGGTGCGTATCTAATATGAATGGCCATGATTTTGGAAGATGATAATGAAATTGTTGGTCTTTTTTCAAATCCATTTAGGCAATTGGGTCATTTTGAATAGAAATCAGTCATTTAAGTTCGTAATTTCTTTAAAGGCATAGTGTTAAGTACGACTTGAACTTTTAAGGTCTTTCCAGCTGTTTGAGGAGGTACGAATTTTCAAAGTGGCACCTGAAGGTTGATGATTTGAATCTTGGAGCAAAAGTAAAATTAATTCTGTGGCTATAGCCTTGTGGTCTATCATGGTTTAAGTATTAGTGTTTCTTTCGAATATGTATTTTGATATTTTGACAAATGGAATATTGAAATCTTAGAAACTCCTAAATTACCCCTCAGTAACATCGAAACAATTATAGTACAGTATGCAAAGCTTTCGAGCTATCGTTCACTGGTTGAACTTGCTCATTTCAAGTTATGATAGCATTTCAATGCTGCGACTTGATGTTATACTAAACTAAAAGTGCTTCAAACCATCCTAAGTAGTTTGGACACTTCATCCTATCATAATAGACCTTTAAGGCTCTAATTCCTTTTTTTAGTGATATAAGACTCTGATTCACTTGACTTGATCAATGTCTTGAGTTGAGTTTCATAGAAGACCCGAGTGCAACTATAAACAAAGATTGAGGTTTTGGTCGACTTGAAGGACTCCATCAAATCCCTGTCCTTAATTTAGTCTATGCATTTATTCACTAGTGGAATCAGAATCTGGAAGTGGTTTCCTATGCATGCTGGGGGGATTCATGCAACACCTAATTGATGTTGTCAGCTCTGTAAGAGAAATCATAATGTTCCACAGAATTTCTCAATCATTTGGTCATCCATCACCTGCAACTATTCTGGAATATGATAGGGGGTTTGAAAGCCTCCATCTTTTCGTCTCTCACAATGATTTTGAAAAATATTCTAGAATGATGTGCCACCTTAACTCACCATTCATTGAGTCAAGGTTGAGGCCCAAGATGGCGGACAGAGATCCTAGCTTCATGAATTTGTTTTGCTATCTTGAAATTTTTATCATCAGAAGTACTTGTTAATTTAGACTTGAAATCTTAGTACTAGATGATGTTGGCCTCAAAGGAACACAAAGATATAGTTGAGATGCTTATTGAGGTAGCTTGAAGATCATAACTTTAGTGGAAGTGAACGTGTCATGATAAAGTGGAAGCCAGATATTATGTTTCTCTTCTCTATTGTATTCTTCCTCACAACATTTTAAGCGGAGTTGGTAGGAGGTCCATCCGTCATCTCGTTTGGGCCATTCATACCTTAATTGGGGAAGGTACTCACATTTGGATGGCTTGACACTTTAGACAACATCCAGGCCATGGACCTCCTTCAAACATGGTTGACTGACCCCTTGCATTTGTTTCATGTTTTGGAAAGTAAGTAGACTGTGGATAATCTTCGACTACATACAACATATGTGCTTAAGATTTGGGGGTGCTATTGGATTTCTTTGAGTTGTCATAGACGGTGCTGGACTAGTACTGCCTTGATTCTATGGTGATTCAATGCGTTGTGGCCTGAGAGGGATTTGTAAGATTCATCCAGTGGCAAACTGGGAATATTTGTAAAGAATTGATGGCTTATATATGAATTATCCTAGATTTATGGAAGTTTTCAGGGATTTTACTTCTTTTTTAGGCCTTGGACCTAAAGGAAGTCTTTTTGCCTTCAGGGAAAGGGACTTGATCCAAGAGTTGAAGATAGTTGCTTGAAGTGGTACCATGAGTCCATGAGATTTAAGAAAAAAGAAAAACAATGTATTTGGGTGTGTCCACCTTGCCTCGCATGCTAATGTTCCCAACTTCTGATCTCTTAAAATCTCACTGGAACTGAACTATCAAAAAATAAAAACGATCTCATTTATTTATCAAAACCACATTTTACGTAAAAGTGATTTCCTTGAAATTTGATTATGTCCCCCCTTATGTCTTTAAGTTACCCCACTTCCCATTAAATGGATCATGTTTCCCATGTCTAACATATCCTAACAACCTAACCATGCAAATCCTACTATAAATACTTCCAAGAAAACTTTCCTATGTAGTCCAAATCTCTACAATGAAGAAAATACAAAAATAACCCTAATCCTAAAATCTAAAAATAAAAAATAAAAAATAGAAACCCACTGCATCAAAAACCCAACATTAATTTTCATAGAAATCACTAAACCACTTCTTCGTAAGCCAAATTCCTGTTAAACTTCTAGTTTCTATTTTGTTTTACTTGCTTGGGTTATGAGAGTGGATGGGACAAGTATTTATGATATGCCTTGACATGCAACGAGAATGAAGGATCTATGACTAAAGTACCAGGTGCTCAACTGGTTCTTGTGTCTTCACCAAATACCTAGTCTTATATTCAGGGATATATCCAGGGGATGAATTGACTGCTGCCCGAGACTTACATTGGTTGCTTTGCTCTCCTGATTCATTGGATCCCATAAAGGACATAACTTTAATACTTGTACCATAGCTGAGTTCTTAGATTGTTGATATAGCCTCTAAATAGGAAATATAATACTGAGACTTAATGGAGAGTGGAATTGAAGGCGTTGGATGGTTGCAGTGGCTGCTCTGCTTTTATCATTCATTGAACTCTTAAAAGGATACATTTTCTATGTTTGAATTATCAACCAATGGTCTTTGATGCTATGGTGTGATACCATGTGGTCAGAGGGAGATCAAGATGTTGAAATTTCGTTTTCTTGTGACATGCTTAGACTCCCCTAAGTTTGTCGTTTTCTAACTGATGCTTACACACTCAGTCAATGCTGTCGACATGCCAAACTGGTTCGCAATATGGCTCTACTTGGCTTGTATTGAGCAAGCTTGAGCAATATTTTTTGACTCAATAGGCTGAGCCCGCAAGCGCGGTTGCCAAGCAAGCCCGTTTACAGTGAACCAAGCTCAGGTGGGCTTGTTTAATAGAATCTTAATGTATTATGCATTATATTTAATTAACATAACCTCAAATTTAAAGAAAAGAGAAGGCTGTCAATAGAACTCACGATGTCTCTCTATCCAAGCCATAATCTGGGGGAGCTGGTTGGAGTGGAACTGCAATCTTTCATGGAGGTGCCAATCAACAGGCTCACATGATTCACTGGAGTAGGTCCTTCATTGTCTCTTGACCATGGCCTACATAGAACTCTAGGAGTTCTCGGCAGTCATGTTTCAGTCTCAATCGATCAAACATTGTTTGGTCCTCCCCATACAAATCACATTTCTCCAACCTGGCAACCGCCCCCATATCAGAGCAATAAAAAATTTCCACAGCGGTTGAAAGGAAAACCCAGGTCCCCACTGGTATTGGGTTGTTCCAAAATAATCAGGGACGTATACCCTAATCTTTCAGGTACCGCAGACCATGAAGATGCCAGCTTCCCTGAAATCCAGGCTCTTCTTGTTGGTCTCGAAAACTTTTAACAGGCAATGGGGCAACAACCTGCTCTGAGGGTATTATGGCGAACATCGTAACATTGCCCAATAAAGAGACAACCTGCCAATGGAGACTTAATCAAACATTCAATAAGATCCATGGCCTTTGCTCCTTGCTCCACATCACATTGCAACATGTTTTGCAAGAAGCTAAACCCCTTGCAGTCAGCCAACAAAATTGATGCTTCCCTTCCATTTATGCTACCCCTTGCCCCTCTCAAACAGAGTAGGCAGGATGCCTGTTGTTGCACTCATTTGTATCCATCACTGTCATAGTTCGTGCTTCATTGATCTCAAACTCATGCTTCATGAATCTGAGCTGTTTGAACTAATTTTTTAAGAAACTTTTTGGTGCGGTCAGATTCATTTGTTTTTTTTCCAAAGCAGTCATTGGATGCTGTCATTGGATGTGCATGAAGTTTCAACCTAGTGGTCTTATACAGACGTCATGTATTAACAATTTTGGGCTGTGGGGCACTACTTTAGTGAAATGTTGATGATAACCTGATGGATGAGAATATCTTTTTGTTGAAGAAATTTTGAAAATATGGTCTTAGTGTCATCATGTTAGTCTTTCATCGCTATAAATCTTGGGCTTAGAACTATTCAGAATTCTCACTTATCAGAATAAGGGATTAATGACTGACTAGGTAAGTATACTATTTTGCTAAAGTGCGTTTGGAGGGGCAAGTGTTAGACTTAGGTCGTAAAAATGCCCCCATATAACTATTTTATTGCCATGTAAAAGTTGTGTCTTTATTTTAATTCTAGAATGTCTCATTCCCTTACCAAAAGCAAGAGAATATATTATTCTTTCTAATTTGTTATTCTTTCTAAAAATGCTCTTACAATTTTCTAAATATTTAAAAGTATGCTACAGTTTAATGATGAAAAAAAATGATGCACGAAGGAAAGGTGGGAAATTAAATCCACTTTTTTCTAAACGTCAGGCAAGTAAAAATCAACAGCAATGGCAAAAAAGCATGGTTTTAAATCAAGCCAAGAGAAGAACTTTCTTCTTTTATAAAATAAAATTCATTCCAATAGCATAAGCATTCCATAATGTGATGTTCCACCTTTCTTAAGCCTATAAAACCCTAAATTAACTTAATATCCAATTAAACAATTTGATATTCTAAAATAACCCTAAACAATTTAAAAAACATCCATGTTAACAATAACCTGTGTACGTACCTGTGAATAGTATCCATAAACAGAATTAATAAATAGTAACCAGTGAGTAGTAAATAAAAGAAAATAAAAGATATAAACTAAGTGTTGGAGATTAACCCCACATAATAATTTCTAAAAAACTGACCCTAATAAAAATTAAAACAGATAACCACATCTATGAAATAAAAAAATAAAATTCAAATTTTTTAATCACCTAGCTCTTGATCTTCATCATTCTCCTCTAGTTGGAGAAAACTCACCCTTGAGTTTTGAAACGGGTTAATATAAATCCTCCTCTAAACACAAAGTCTCTCTCACCCTAGGACCTATGGGTTATAAGTTTTAATCAAAATATCATTGAAAATATCCTCTTAACAAGTTGCTGACGATATTAGTGCACCTAGCTATAGTAGCTTGCCTTCGTGGGATGGAATCCTCTAATTGGAAACAAGAGAGGTCAGCCCTACCATTGTGGTAAGAGAAAAGAACTAAGGTTGTTGCCTCAAGCTTCCTCTTTTACCTTTTCACCACTATCACTATCGTACTCATTACCATCATTGCGATGACCATCACCTTTGCCTGCAACTTGTTCTTCGTCATAAATAGGAACTCCTAGATTTTCGTTTTCGTCCAATGTTTCATCAAAAATGGGATCACCATCAAATATAAGATCACCTGATTCTTTATCAAAAATAGGATCACTATCAAGCATAAGAACACTATCAAATATAGGACCATCCGCTGATTCAATTGACATTGGATCCAATTGAAGATTGGATCCTTATTGTTCTCCTTCAAAATTATGCTCCTGCCAATGCTATTGCATATGAAATCCATCTACATAACTTAGACACATCATCAATCCGTTCCCACTCAGATTCGGACACTAATTTGTGCTAATCTCCATTAAAAACCCTCACGATTTGGATCCATCCCTGTAGATTCCTCTTCATTTAGGGCACCTTGTTGCTGGTCTCTCTTACACAATAACTGTGTGACCGTCTTGTTGATTTCCTTGCGCAAACGGATCAGATTACATCCGTTTAGTTTAGACCTCCACGACCAACCATCGCAATCTCTAACCATCTTCAAACCGAGCTTTGATACTGGTAGATGCAGGAGGGAAAGGCGGGGAATCAAATCCACTTTTTCCCAACCCTCAAACAAGTAAAAATCAGCAATAATGAAGAAAAATGAGGGTTGTAAATCAAGCTAAAAGAAGAAGAACTGTATTTCATAACATATATTTTATTCCAATAACATAAGCATCCCATAATATGATGACCCATATTTTATAAGCCTATGAAATCTTAAAATTAATTTAAGATCCAAGTAAATAATTTAAGACTCTAAAATAACCCTAAACAATATTGAAAATTTTAAAAATACCCATATGAACAGTAACTCGTGAACAATACCTTTATAACTAAATGAAATTAAAAGCATGAATGTACAAATAATAATGATTCATTCAATACGTTATGGCTATAAAGCGAGAAGTAAAAAGTTTAACAATAATACCCAATCTTTTTATTTTGTATTCCAAGATTCCATAAATTTAAGGATTTTCAATAGAATATTTTAAATTTTATTGTTCTTTTTATTTGAAATCTTTAATGGTTTTCATCAGAATATTTAAAATTTGAAATTCAGGAAAAATTGATGAGGGAGAATAAGAGGGGAAAAAAAAACTAGATAGTCATTGAATAATCTACACCTATAAGAGTTTTTGTGGATATAAACACTTATCCTTTTCTCACATTGCTCTTCCCATTTTTTATTTCTGAAGATTCATAAGGTTCTTCACTAAATTATACTAGTTTGTAACTTTGTATAAATATCTGATGCACTCATATTGAACAAGTACTTTTCTTAGAGGTGTTATTTCTCCTTATTTAACTGGTAGAGATAACTGGAATTTCAGGAGCTATAAATATATAGTTTTGAAATATGTATGCGTATATCTCAGAATGCCTCAACAAACTCACTGGAACACAGTCAAGGACTTTCACAAGCATCCTATTCTTGATGCATAACTTTTCCAATGGCGTAATGGGATGATGATGTATGGTTTATTAATTGAGGTTTCAGTAGATCTTAAAAGAATGGATTTCTCGTTTTTGATGCATGATGCATGGATTGCTTCATTTTCACGGAAACTAAGATAGTTCAGGGATTCAGTATATAACATTCCTGTTTTCTGCATCTCATTGAGGCTTATACTTGCGAAATTCGCAGATAAATAAAAGAGGGGATACTGTGGACGAGAAGATTAAAAAGCTTGATGCTGAACTTACTAGGTACAAAGAACAAATCAAGAAGACAAGGCCTGGACCTGCTCAAGAAGCAGTCAAAGCCCGAGCAATGAGGGTCCTTAAGCAAAAAAGAATGTAAGCATTCATGGCAATGCATTTTATTAGATGGTTGTTCTTCTGATTTTAACATTGTTGGGTAGACTCCAATGCAAGAAGAGTCATAATCTTTTGTGTGTAATAGGTTGATTTAGATATTTTTTGTCGTATCTATTTTAGGACTTAATTTTTGTTCCTTGAGGTGAGCCACTTCATTGTAATTGTCGGAACTTGAACTTGTTTTGATACTGGTCAGGTATGAAGAACAACGTGACATGCTGTATAATCAGACTTTTAACTTGGATCAGGTTGCGTTTGCAGCTGAAGGGATTAAAGATGCTCAACAAACGGTTTGCTTTAAAACCTTGTTCTTTTTTGAAGTTGAGAAGCTATGGGGATATTTTCTCAAAGATATATGTGCTTAAAGCACTCTCTGATTTGCTGTCCAGATGTCAGCCTTGAAATCTGCAAATAAAGAGTTGAAAGGAATGATGAAAACAGTGAAGATCCAAGACATAGATGTAAGTTTTGTTGTCTTCTTTGCCCGTTCTACTCATTTACAGGGGCACTGAAAAGATTTAAGGCTCAATTGCTTTGAATTGTGACAAATATCTCTGTTTTACTTAGAACCTCTCTTATTCCCACACGTATGCACTTACATGTTGCTGCAAGCACAAATGCACACTAAAACATTGAATATCTAAACTGACCTCCCCAATGCTGGTGCTTTGTGCAGAGCATGCAAGATGAGATGATGGATTTAATGGATGTGAGTTCAGAAATCCAAGAATCACTTGGCAGGAGCTACAACGTCCCTGATGATATTGATGAGGATGAGCTCATGGGCGGTAACTATCTTCAACTTGTATCTGCACATGCCTTTTTGGCACTACCTATCATATGCTGCCCTGCATTAAATCACTGTGGGGCTTTGCAGATCAACATCAAGCAATAAATATGAATTTAAAGAATTTGAAAGGAGAGAACTGAAGCTTAAGAAACACTATTTGAGTGTAAAATGTTAATGTAAGTAACCTACGTAACAAAGATAAGATACTTTGAAAAATCAGTTTGTGAAATAGGTTTATGGCGTGGTGTGTGGATTGGTTTGGCGACCATCCCTTTGGGCAATTGCTGTTATTTCTTGCTGTGCATTTATCTATTTGTGTACATGGATATCTATGTATGCACGCAAGCAGGTGTGAAGAGAGAGAGAGTGGGGGAGCTTTGATATTTAGGCTTTTTGACATTCTTTTCAACGACTCTTTATTACTCAGAGCTGGACGCTTTGGAAGCTGACATGAGCTTGGAAACCGAGTCTGAAGGCATGCCCACATATCTCCAACCCGACAAGGAATCTGATATTGACTCTGAACTCAATTTGCCTTCGGCTCCATCTAGTCATGCGATGCCAGCCAGAACCAATGCTCAGGTATCCCCAACCATCCACACCATCAATTTTTACCACAAACCATCAATTTTTACCACAAAGAGGGAAAATGGTCACTATTTTTCGCCCTTTTTGGTGGGTGTGGTGTAAGTACGATACTGAAATTTTGGGATACATGGTTACTTTTCAGGCGGAGGACGAATTGGGCTTACCAGCTGTTCCTCGGGCATCTATTCGTGGATAGTCGCAAAACTGTCCATGCTGGACTCAGTTATTGACGAGATCATTCATGGTGCATTGGTCTCTGTGCATCGGAGATGTGTATTTGTTCATGCTGATTGTGTTCTGGTTTGGTCCATTAGGTGTTCTGCGCATTGGGGTGGTTTGTATGAAATCAGTGTGATTTGGATTCTCAAAAACGAAAAATAGGAGCATAATTATTTGGAAAAATATATCAAGCGATCATTTACTTAAAAATATACAAAGAGATCATTTACTTTTCATTCAAGGAGGTCACAATCACTATTATGTATCAGATTTTAAATCAAGTGGTTGTGAGTGTGTTATTAATTAGGCTGAAAATTCAAAAAAACAAATTCGAACTTTGTAATATATTTCAATCCATCCATTTTGACATCTAATAGCCAGTAACAATTATGACCTTCTTGTAATAAAGATAAATAGTCTTATAGTATATAATCTTTAATTATTTTAGTATCGAGGTGGTGATGGAACATATTTCTTATATATATATGGTAATGATTTTATGATACTCTTTCACACCCATGTGTGTAAGATCTTAAAAGATCACTATTAAATTTGACACAGATCTCTAAAAAAGTTATCACATAAGTGTGGGATTTGACTTTTCTAGATATCATCAAATTTAATAGTGATCTCTTGGGGTCTTACGGACATAATTGTGGGAGGGTCTCATAGGATCATTACTCATATATAGATATGGAAAAAGTTTATATGAGGATGCTACCTTATAATGGAGAACTACGGATGCCTTTCAAAAATCTATGGGAAAAGGTAGTGTTAATGTTGAAAAACCTTTTGATTGATCATCGAGATGTATGACTATGAAAAATAAAAAGATTTTAAGTCTTATAAATAAGGCATTTTATAACATATTATCTACACCATCCATTTTTAAGATTTTTATATGTTTATAAATCTATTTGATTTTAAATATTTTTGAAATTTAAAATTTTATAATTAGAAATAAAAATAAATTTTGAGATAATCCTAAGAACATTTTACATCAAAATTATATACCATGATAAAATTTGAAGGTGCACCTGACCTCTACACCTACGGATGCATCCTTATGCAAATTGCATCATATATAT